CGCCATGGTGCTCTCTTAGGGCCCTTTTGGACTCCTGTTGTGCCGTTTTGGGGCTCTCTTGGACTGCCTGGAAGCCCTTTCGGATGGTTGTGGGGCGATTTGGGAGCATCCCAGGCGGCTTCGGACGCCTAGGAGACCGCCGTCTTGGAGCATCGGGAAGCCGAAGAGAGGAGAACCCCAAATGCACCAAAAACCTATATATATATATATATATATACATAAAAATATAATAATAATAATAATAAATGATTTTTCCTTTTGGGGGCCTTCTTGGGGGTGCTCTTGGAGGCCTCTTGGTACGTTTTGGAGCGATCTTTCGGGGTATGACGGCTTCTTGGAGCGCTCTTGTGCTGTCTTGGGGGTCTTTGGGACGTCTCCGGTGACCTCCCTGATCGCCCTGGGTGTGCTGCGAAGGCTTGGCAAAACGCTCTGCGAGGTCCAGGGGCCGCTTCGAGGCCCGTCCGGAGGGTCCCAAAGCTCCAGATCCCGGGGGTCCGGTTTTAGGGGGGGGGGGGGATGACGGGTTTTCCCCCCGCCTGGGCTTATAAAAAAATAGGAAGAGGAATATACACACACACACACACACACGCACACACGCACGCACGCACGCACGCACGCACGCACGCACGCACGCACAGACAGACAGACAGACAGACAGACAGACAGACAGACAGACAGACAGACAGAGACAGACAGACAGACAGACAGACAGACAGACAGACACGCACACACGCACACACACATACACACACATACACACACATACACACACGCACATCCCTTAGGGATCCTTAGGGAATCCTCCGGAATCCCCGAGGAATCCTGCGGAAGCCCTGGGGGATCTTGAAGGAATCGCAGGGAATCCTTAGGAATCCTTTTTGGGAATCCTTCGAAATCCCTAGGGAATCTTCAGGGAATCTCTTCGGGCACCCTTAGGGAATCCCGTAGGGAATCTTTCGGGTATCCTAGGAAATCCTGTGAGAATCCTTAAGGAATCCTTCAGGAATCCTTTCTGGGAATCCTGAGGAATCCCTAGGGAATGCTAAACAAGCCCCAGGAAGCGTTAGGAGATCTTAGGAAATCCGGACATCCGATGGAATCCCTTAGCAATTCTTTTAGGACCCCATAAGGAATCCATCGGAATCCCTTGGAATCTTTACGGGATCCTTAGGAATCCGTAAGGAATCTTTAAGAATCCGCCAGGAATCCTTAGGAATCCCTAGGGAATCCTTTGCAAGCCTATAGGGAATCCTTAGGAATCCAAAGGGAAATCTTTGGGAATCCCTAAAGGGAATCCTCAGGATTCCCTCGGAAATCTTTAGGATTCCCTATAGGGAATCCGCTGGAATCCCCAGGGAATCCTTCAGCAAGCCTTCAGGAATACTTCGGGATCCCGAGTGAATCCCTAAGGAATCCCCAGGAATCCTTAAAGGAATCCATAGGGATCCCTAGGGAACCACCCAATCTTTTAACCTCTGACGTTTCAGCGGAGTTTGGAGTGTCTATTTTGGGCTCGGCCAAGGATTCGGCGCGCGCCAAATCTATCAGTATCTACTGTTTCGAACCAGTTTCTAGTTGTTTTGATGAGTTTTCATTTTCAACCCAAGGAAATTGCAATGCGTATCTAGTTTTAAATAAGGCACGTTTCTATTAGTGTCTATGTATGATAAAAGCTAATTCCGTATCTATTTTTGGTAGCAGTATCTAGTTTGCACGTGTTTATTTTCATTTGGTCACACTCGCGTTTCGCGCGCTCCGACTCAGATGCGTTGCGGTTTCGCCATAGCAGGCGCGCACCAAAGATAGACACTACCAGTACTTATTTTTTGGCTACTAGGGTCGGGGCCCTCTCGCGAGACCTCTTTGGGCCCTCACTCTAAAGCGAGCTGGGGGACGTAAGGAGTGGAAGCGAGCGTGCGCCCGCGGCCGCCTTGGCTCAAAGCGGCCGGCCGCCCAGATTTGACTGCGCCTCACCGCGAGGCACAGTATCGCTATTGATACTGAAAGGCATCCCCTTTTTCTTGACATGGCATCCCCTCTTGCATTGGGACTATCGCTACTACGATACAACCGAGCTGGAGCTTGGCTTCGCCTGAGGCGAAGCTGTTGGCGAGGCCTCCCAGCCCCCTTCAAACTTGGTAGCGGAGCTGGCCCATGGTGGTCAGCTCTGGCTCTACTCCTCACCATCCACGGCACTTTCTGGTGGACTACAGTTACGGTGGAATATCAGGGTGCAGTGGCACTGCGCGGAGGAATGTACATACATACGCAGTACCGCAAGGAAACTTGCAGCGACACCTCTGCCCCAGCGGAGGTCTCTTACTCAAATTCTACATCCCTGCGCTATTCCACTCCTGAAGTCCACCCGCCTACTCCAATTTGAAATTTCTTCGAAGATATAATGCATGGAAAATGCGATACGATATACTGCCGCCTCCGATCCCTCGCAGACTTAACACGAGCCTCCACCGACTATACCCGACTACGACCTACGAGGCCATTGGATTGGGGTTGCTATCCTTGGGCTCATATGGGTCGCTCGTCGATGTGCGGTGGGACATATGCGGGGCGGAGACGACACTAGAACGACCGGCCCCCATTGGGACCCTGCCGGTCAAGTACCATTTCGCGAGTTTGTCCGCGAGGTACACGCCTGGATCAACGTGACCACAGGCAACATGACGCCCTCCCAACAGGCCGCCGCACTCCAGCGCGGCCTTGGAGGGCTCGCACGGACCATAGCCATGAGAGCCCCCCCAGCAGTCATCAATTTTGTCGTCAATTTAGGTGGTCGCGACACCGACGGCGCCACCTACAGCATGTTCCTCTTAAGTACGAAGTTCGAGAACCTAGAAGAGGAACGCCAACTCAACTCTGGCACGGCTCTCATCGACTTTCGTGTCCATGCGGGAGAACGAATCGACCAGTCGTTAGCACGGTTAGAGATAGCCCGCTACGAAGCAGAAGCCCCCGGCTTCAACATCCCCAATTTCCAAGTATTAGCAGTAATATTATTCAGAGCTCTGGGAGTGGGGACTTCGCGGGCACAGCAACTCCTGCAGCCTCTGAACCACCATGTGCCGAGGGACCAAGCGCAATTTGATGCTCTCCTCGAACGCATGAGGTCATATGCTCACATAGCTGAGAGAAACCCTGGCAATATCGGTGGTATTTTTAGTCACGGTCACCGAACCGAGACCTTCCATAAAGAGGCCAACGCAGGGCAACCTGCTAACAACTTCTGGAACGATGATACGCCGCCGACTGAGACCACTACATTGTTGGCCCAGATAGGCTCGATGGTGGTGGTGTTGATGTCGGTGGCGGTGATGATGGTATGATGATGACAGCATAGGTGTCCCATGTGACGCCTGAAGCGCCACATGTGACCCCTCGTTCAAGAAGGAGTGGCGTCAATGGACCGCTACTAGAACATGGAAGTGCCCGGATTCGTGTGGACATTTCTTTTGCTAAAATATGGAAGTGTTCGGAGACGATCTGTCTGGACACTTCCTCTCTGGCGCTGTTCTCCCACGAGGCAGGTGCTGATACCGTCATGCGTGACGCTTCGGCCGTTTCGGAGCAGACGAACACGATTATGATGCTGATGATGATGCTGATGTTGATATCGATGATGAGGATGATGATAGTGATGATGATGATGATGATGATGCTGAGGAGGAGGAGGAGGACGAAGAGGGGAGCCGTCACATGCGACACCTTTCGTCCTCATTTCTCGAAGAGCCCAAAGCAATTTTGAGGGAATGTCTCTAGCGAAACGCTTGTCTTTGAAATCTGTTTCAATAAATTTGTTTTCTTCCTCCATCTTGGACATTTTCCTACATCGCTTTGAAAAGACGTGTGAGAACAGCCCTTTGCACATCCCACTTCTTCGAGGATTTCAGGCGAAATTGTAATTCTCAAGATTCCGAGGGTCACGCCGTCGATTTCGACATCCTCGTTGTGTCTCCGGCGAAGCGCTCCTTCTCCAGGGGGCCCCACGAACGCAACGCCATGCGAGTAGAAGGGGTGGGGGGGCCTAGACGAGTTCGAGAAACCCTGCCCGACAGCCCTCGGTATCCTTGCGCGCCTCCACGTGCCAGGGGGGCACGGCGGTGGATGTACAGTGAGCGCTAAGGACTTAGAGGGGGGACAGATGGGGACAGCAAGACAAGGGTTGGCTCAGACTGTGCACTGAGAAAGGGTACGGTTTTAACTTTCGCCGCTTCTTGCATGCCTAGGAGTACTTCAGAACGAGGTTCCGCGCTGGTTCTTTTCAGAACGCACGCGTTGCCGAGGTTCGGCATGTATGAACGAGATGCGCCGAGCATGCGCAGTCAGCACCTGCAGAGGAAGGTATCAAACCGTGTTGTGTTTGTTGTTAGTAGCTGGCCGAGTTCGAAATGTTGGTCGCAACGCAACGTGTTTCGCGATTTCTGTTTAAAACGTCGAGGCGAAGTCCATCGTTATCCAGATGTTGAACGTCGTCGACAATCCTTTGTGTTTTTGGACCCTGACCCTGCCGATCTGCGTGAGAGGTGCCACCGAATTTTAGAAATGCGGCAAATCCTTTGTGTTTTTGGACCCTGACCCCGCCGATCTGCGTGAGGGGTGCCACCGAATTTCAGGCATGTGGCAAATCCCATGTGTTTTTGGACCCTGACCCCGCCGATCTGCGTGAGGGGTGCCACCGAATTTCAGGCATGTGGCAAATCCCATGTTTTTTTGACCCTGACCCCGCCGATCTGCGTGAGGGGTGCCACCGAATTTCAGAAATGTGGCTGACCCCGCCGATCTGCGTGAGGGGTATCAATTTTCATCCCCCCAGGAATTCTGAGAACCCTCCCGGGGGGTGCCAACCAGGGCGGTTTTCGGCTCCCCCCCCTCGCGCGGACAGTAACAATTTACAGTAGGAAGCTGAAAGCAGAACTGTAACAATGGAAACTGGAAACTGGAACTGGTGCAGGGAGCAGCAAGCTTAATCCTCGCAGCCTGATGGCCCCGCAAGAGGGCCGGCGAATCATCATGGAAAGATCTGGTAGATCATACGACATTTCAAGGACAATAAACGGTTTGGGTTCGTAGTCATTTTGGCTCAAGCCGTTTCGGCTTCATTATTCTTGGTTCTAGCCGAGGCTTCAGCAAGAGGTCGCCCCTTTCTGTTTCTCTCCCCCCCCCCTTCCTCCAGACCCGAGCGAACTCGGCGAACCATGCTGCCTGGGGCGTCCCGTGGCAACGCTGGGCGAAAGCTGGAGGTGCTCGAAGCCAGAACTTTGGCGCGGACCATGTGCTCGAGCAGGGCGTGCAGCGGGTGCGTGGTCTGCATCTTTGTTTCATTGTACATGCTCTGGCCGCTGCTGCAAGGCTCGAGTGGGTACGACGAGGCGCCGCCGCTACTGCTCCTGTCGCAGCCGAGAGGCGCTGCGGGTGGCGCCGCGCCTCGGTTGTGGGACGCCGCGCTGCGGTGTAACCTGGACATTTGCCGCGCGCACGACCCGAAAACGACCCCCCGGCTGTTCATCAACGAGTTTACAGGCGGCGCTGGCAATCGGCTGAAAAACATCATATGCGGCATGGGCGCAGCCGTGGCGAATGGTATGAATTTTGGCGGGGTCGTGGCGCGCGCCTCGGGCGGCATTAGTGTGCACGGCAAGCCATGGCCGATGATCGTGGACGGTTTCCTTGGCCAGAATTTCTACAATAACACCTTCATCGGTCGCCACCTCATGTGGAAATTCGTGAAGGACAGAAGCGTGCGCGAGGTGAAAAACTTGCATGCCCTCGCGCAGAATCGGAGCTCCATGCAGCCATCGGACAATGTCTATCTTAACAAGTGTGAGTTCTCGTCTGGCGACGACGTTGCGCGCTTCCTGACTCCGAGTTTGCAGGCAGAGTTGACGTTGACGCTGTCGAAGCGCAGCCTTGTTTTTGCGCAAGGCAGACTTGCCGTCGCTGTGCACCTGCGACGCGGGGACCGTTGGAAGGCGCCTGCCCACAAACACGGCGATGACGTGTTATTGTCGACTGACGCCAGCGCGGAGGACGCGTATTATTATGGGCTGATAGATATCATCAGGCGCGCTGAGCCCCTTGCAGAGGTGCACGCCTGGAGCTCGCTCTCTGGGAACTGGACCTCCGCCGATTTCGACGGCTACCGCAGCCGCGGCGTGCAGGTGCATCTCGACGCAGACAGCGATGGAGATGCGGAGGAACTGATCAACTGCTGGGCTCAGTGGACCCAAGCGCATGTGTTCTTGTCGGCTCGAAGCACGATGTCAATGGTGGCGGTGATGCTGAACCCGAACTGCGTGGTGCTGGCGCCCGCGGGCTTCGACAACGCACGCGTGCCTCCGAGGTGGATGTTTGGGAAGCCCACGCCCGAGAAGAGGCTGGCCGCTTGCATCCGACAGGTGTGGCAGCCCGCTGCAGACACCACGCGGGACGGACAAGTCCGGGCGCCCTCCGCCGCCGCCCCGCACCGGGCGGAGGCCTCGGAGGCGGCGCCTGGCCGCGCGGGGAAGCCGCTTGCCGACCCCGCGCTGGCGCAGGCCCTCGCGGTCCCCGCCCGCGCGGAGGCGCCGCGCCCTGCCCCCGAGGAGGTCGCGGGCAGCCCGCGGCCGCCCTCGGCGAAGGAGGGGCTGGCGTCGACGCGGGTCCGCTTGCAGAATCATTATTACCGGCACGAGCAGTCGCGCCGGGATCGCGCGGCGGGCGAGCGCTCGAGCGCCTGCGCGAGGCACGAGGAGGACCCCCTCTTCACGGCTGGTCTCGACCAGTCCCGGTACCCGTGGCACCCCGCCGTGCGGGAGAGACGGAGGCCCAGTGTGCTTTGGGGCACTGCGCACGCGCAGAAGGCCATCTGGGACCACCAGCACCCCGCGGATTGCAGTCGCGCGATTTTCATGCAGTGGACGCATCACCGTGCAGGCATCGGTGCCACCCTGCACGTGATGTCACGGGCGCTCGCGTATGCGATGCGTCTGGGTCGTGTTTTCGTGTTTGCAAAGAAGGACAGATACCTGATGTGGCGTGACCGAAACTTCTGCCCGGACGCTCCCGCTTGGGAGTGCTGGTTCCTGCCCGTGGCGGGCTGCGCGGCGCGGCCAGAGGCCACGCTGAACGTGTCCTACGAGGACCTCAAGGCTGCCGGGGAGGAACTGGCACGGAGCCATCCGCACGAGGACGCCCATTCCCTCGAGGTGCCGCCCCAGTTCCGGGGAGCTCTCTCGAACTGCTCCCCCGTGAGGCGTGACGCGTGGTTTCATTGGTGGAGAGCGCAGGCGATGACTTACGTCATCCGGTTCAACGAGAAGACCCGGGGGCAGGTGGACAGGCTGGCAGCAGAGGTGCTGCAGCTGCGGCGCCTGGGCGGACAGGCTGCCGCCACCGCAGCACCCAGGATCACCTCCCTGGAGCCTGGATCCGTCAGCCTGCATGTGCGACACGGCGACAAGGGTAGGGAAATGAAGCTCGTTGCTTTCAAGGAGTACCTCCAGCTGGCGGAGCGCCTCGCGGAGGGAGACCAGGACCTCCAGGTGATGAACCAAGGGACAACCTTTGACTATCCACACTGCCTGCGGCAAACCCCGCCAACGTGCCTATGCAACAGCGCTGCAGGACGGCGATTGTTGCACAATTCCGATGATTGGTTTGAATTGGGACGGTTCGTGGCGTCGACCTCGGAGGAGGAGGAGGAAGAGAGGGAGAGGGAGAACATGAGCATCGTAACGCGCCCTCTCCTTGTAGGCACTGTGGCGGATCCCCCTGATACATTCCGGCGTCGGGTGATGTTCGTAAGCACCGAGGACCAACAAGTCATCGACGAGGCTCTCAACAGTACGGGACTCGTTAGAAACGCGTGGGATGTGGCCTACGTCGAGACCGAGCGCAAGAACACCTGTGTGTTCTGCCAGCGCGGCGACAAGGGCGTGGAGCGGGAGGTGCTCGAATCATTGCTGAATCTGGAGCTGGCGCTGCAGGCAGACGCGTGGATAGGCACGCTGCGGTCCAACTGGTGCCGTCTCATAGACGAGCTGCGCATGACGATCGGGGCTAAAGCTGGCTCGCCTTACTTGAACTTGCCTTCTGGGGACCACGCGATACCAGACTGGTGAGGCCGCGGCGACGAAGGCAAAGAGTGTGCAGCATGTGCCCCATGCGATGCTGAACAGCAATCGGCATGATCCCCTCGCGCTCGCCCTTCTGGGGCCTCCTGGGGGGCCCTCGTCGCCGCAGCTGGATTCGCCTCCAGAATTCTGATCGGAACGCCCCCCTGCAGAGGTCCTCTTTTGGTTTCCCCAGAGTCGGCGTCAAGGGAACTGAGGTTTGGGTCGATTCCCGGCCCCAATGGGGGCCCTCACCCGTTCCCAGGACCGTCAAAACTTCTCCAGGAGGCGGGGGTCGACGTTGTGAAAAAGTCATGCTGTCGGAGGTCTAGGAACGAGTCCTGGCTGGGCGCGGGAAAGCTCATGGGCGGGGCTCGGCCGGGGCTCGGGCAGGCAGGCGGCAGCAGGGCGCTCGGGGTCCTGGAGGTGTCTTGCCCGGGAGCGACGTCTTGCGCTCGCGTGGCTCCGGTGCGTCGGAGAGTTTCCGGGTGCGCAGCGTCTTGCGCTGAGGGGCACGGGTCCCGGAGGCCCTCTCGACCTGCTGCCGCGCCTCCCGCGCGGGAGGTGCCGCTGCTGCGGCCGCGGCGGCACAGTGCTTGCCGCGCGGAGGGTGCGGGAGGTGCAGGTCGAGGGGGAAGCAGGTCTTCGATGCTGTCCCTCCTCGTCGGACTCCTGGGCCCCTTCCTGGACCCCCGCGGCTTGTCCCAGCACGTGTGCTGTTCTGCTGGGACGAAGACAGGCGCAACAGGAAATGCCTCGGGTTCTAGGACACCCTTCCCTCAGGGCCCCTCTCGGCGGTGAGCCGGGGAATGGAGGTGAGAAGGGGCGGGCCTTCTCAGAAGGCTCGGGAGTGCCCCGGCCTTCTGGGAGAAGTTTTCTGAGCCTTCCCCGAAGACACATGATACTTCTCAGAGGGCGCGGGGGCTTCCGAGAAGTCACGCCGCCTTCTGAGAGGGCCTTCTCCTTCTCACTTCCCCCCCTCGCTCGCCGGCGACCCTCTGCCGCATGGCGAACGGCGAGGGGGGGAGGGGAACAGGCCTCGGGGTTGGCCTGAAGCAACGAGCCCAGGGCAGCGCGACCCGTGTGGCGGAGGGGCTTGCAGCACCACAGGGACGGGATCCATTTTGAGCTGGTCAATCCAGTCAGATCTCGACCACGGCTGGCTCGATGCGACTCGATTTCGATTCTCCAGCGATGCGGTGCGGCCCGATGCTTGCGAGACGCAGCCGTTCATCCTGACGCAGCCGATCCGTTTCGATTTCGGCTCCGTGCCGATGCGGCCCGATCCGATTCACGTCCCGACCCGATCCGAGTTCCAGTTCCGACGCTGGCCTACCCTCGGGTGGGGCTAAGACTGGGCTCTCAGAGCGTCCCAGATTGCTTTGGAATTGCCGCGGCGCCCGATACATTTTGTTTTGGATCGAGCTTCAAGCGAACAGAAGAAGAGGCTACCCGGGTCGCCCCCCCGGGGGCTCCTCGGGCCAGGTTGCCTGCGGTGCGGCATCGAACGAGCATCGTCGACGACTTGACCGGAGGCGGAGCGGAGAGATGCAGTGCACAGTGGGGATTTCACACGCACCAGAGGAGCTACGTCCCGGTCCGGTGTTGCCAGTGCCTGGGCCATTGTCTGGCACCCCGCCCCAGCCCCGCACCACGGAGGTGCGCCCGCGGAGGCGTTTGCGCGCTCCGCCGTGTGCTGCGCCCCAGGCCCAGGCCCGGGCCGGCCGCACAGGTTCCCGATTCGGCGGCTGGGGCCCGACACGGACAGAACATGTGACACTGATACTCCGACCGACCCCCTGGCATCGCTCGGACGTGTGCATTTTTTCTCGGCGAGGGCGATCGAGGAGCATCTTTGATCATTTGGCGAGAAGACCACGCACGAAACCGAAGAAAACACAGGAAATGGGCGTCCGAGCGATGCCAGGACCCTGACAACGTTGTTACGAGAGACATGGAGCTTTCTCCTGGCAGGAGGGTCGTGTACCGTGATCAGGGTGTGGGCTGGATCACTACTTTCATAGCCGAGCGACGTAGTGCAGATACGCACTTACCTGGTGGAAAACAAAACACAAAGGTGGAAAACACAAAGTTCCTATTAAGAATATGGCTCTCAGGAGGCCAGGTGGTGCGATCCGGCCTGCCAACGTGGCGGTTGGGGTCGCCAATTCGCTTTGTGCCGCCCGCCCCGGACATTGCCCTTCGCCGCCAGACCGTTGTCGCGCGGCCGCAGACCAAAAAAAAAGTATCCCCAACAGCCCATCCATAATTGATTGCCAGTTTTCTTGAGGCCTCTTGGAGGCTATCTTGAGCCATGCTCGGCTAGAGGCTTTCGTTGGCTATCTTGAGCCATGCTCGGCTATCTTGGGCCATCTTGAGGCTGCCTTGAGGCCTCTTGGAGGGCTGTCGGAGACTATCTTGAGCCATGTTTGGCTATCTTTGGCCATTTTGAAAGCCATCTTGGGCTATCTGGGGCTCTCTTGGAGCCATCTTGGGCCAAAACGGGCGGGGTGGAGGGTCTTTGGGAGAGGCTGGGAGGCCTCTTGGGGCCATCTTGGGCCCCATGGCTCAAAAAAAAGAGGTCCCTCAATTAGGACCCCCCCTCGGAGGCTCAACAATGACGATTTGGGGCTCTCTTGGGCCGCTCTTGGGCGCCTCTTGGGCGATCTTGGGGCCGTCTTGGGCCTTATTGGGCCCCTCTCGGGGCTCTTTTGGGCCATCTTGGGGCCACCTTGAGGTCCCAGAGGCCCATCGGAAGCGAAAAGGCGAGAATGCCAAACACATTGATTTTCCCTTGGCTTTTGAAGGGTTTTTGCATGTTGGAGGGCGCCGTGGAGGGCTCGAAGGGCACTTGGATCCGTCTTGGGGCTGTCTTGGGGCCTTTGGCGGTATGTCGGAGGCTATCTTGACCCATCTGGGAGTACCTTGGGCCATCTTGGAGGCCATCTTGCGACTTGGAGCGCCTCTTGGAGCCATCCTGGGCCATCTTGGACGCTGCGGCGCCTCCGTCCCCCCCCCCTCCAGGTCCAGGGGAGGGGGGAGGGGGAGGGGTAAACCCCTCCCCCGAGCAGGGGAAGGAGGGGGAAGAGAGAAGAACCAACTCCTTATACCACCGTAGCCCTAGAGGGCTGGTGGGATTTACTGCAACGGGAGCGATGCTACCGAAAGCCTCCGAACACAGATCGGGGGTGGTCGAGCGAAGGCCAACAGGCATGGCCTGAACGGGGTGCCTGCGGGCCGCGACAGTCTGCGCGGAGTGCAGGGCTTCCCGCGCGCCGCGGCTTAGCTTGAGGCGGGGATTCGCCCTGCACCCTCCGCGTCGGCACTGGGCAAAGGCTCGGGTTGCGTCTTATGAGACATTGTCGGGTCTTCTTCAGCCTGCGGAGTAGCTGGCGTTGCAAGCCTTGTCCAAGTTCTGCAATCGTTCCGTCCCCTTCCCGCCTCTTCTCAAGTCGTTCACCTCCCTGTCCTTTTTGGAAGGCGAATGGCATCGCAGTCAGAGGGATGATTGCTAAGGCCTTACGGCCAGTGCCGCCGACCCTGGATACCTCGGCCTTCGAGGGTGACGGGATGCGTGATAAGACGTCGGAGGTAAATGAAGACGTGGCGGAGGAGGAGGAGGCGGAGGAGGAGGAGGAGG